GTTGTTACACCTCATATCAGTATATCAAGAAACAAGGCAATAAACTGGAGGACGAAGAAAGATAAATTGGTCAAAGAAAGTAGAAAGTAGTAAAAGGGAAGAAGGAAGTATGAGAAGATAATGAGATTAAGTATAATGGTTAGTGTGAGGATAATGTGTGTATACGTCTGTGCCAGTGACATAGGTTCTGACCGATATCGCTAAAAGTCTCCAACCCCTGGTTTCTGTTGTCCTGTGGACCCTAAATGATCTACAAATTGCACGGTCTACGTTGACATTTCTGAAAGCTGAATGTCAAAGTAAGTCAGCTAGCCACATTCAAGAGATCTGAACTAGTTTGGCTGTGAGTTGAATTTGTCCAGGTACATAGCTTAACGAGCGAAACAGCCATCCGGTGCTTCGATTACTGATCTGGTTAGTGAAATAAATAGATCACCCTAAGTAGTTTCTATCTACATAAGTTGTTCAGCAGTGTACATTGGTAGTCCATGACACTTTTGTGTCATAACCTTGTAGTTTTGGCTACGAGGTGGTTTCCAGTGGAAAGCCTATTTACACCACAGTTGGACAGTTGAAAAACTACTCAGCTGTGAAAAATGTCAAAGTGCACCGTGCGATTTGTAAATCATTTGCAAATTGATCATTTTACTGCAGTGCTGTTTAGTAATTAAAAACTGGTTCACTTATCAATCATCATTCCATGGTCGAACCTGATGTCCAATATAGATGTCGAACAAAGACGCGATCATGAGCGAAACATGCTTTCAATGAAGAACATGAGTGACAAACTTGGTAACATATACTTACACTAAAGGTGAAGCATAATTTTATACATACAATCAAGCTAAAACTAGCTAAGGTAATTATGATTATAAAAATACATATGAAGAAAAATTTAAAACACTAATTAAAGAGAACCGAGTATTTCAGACTATTGAAAATCAATAGGGTGGTATGTACTCAAAAACATTAAAGGAATGTTAAGTTACTTTTGAAAAAAAACACAATTCATTATCCATACTAGGTGACGATTGAAGGTGAAATGAAAATTTGGACCGCAGTCGGATTCGAACCAGCGACCGCTTGGTTTCAAGCCTGATGCTGCTGTACCAACTGAGCTATGAGGTCCGACTGCCGACCAGATTTTTATTTCACTTCAATCACTTATTATTTAGTAAATGAGACAGATAGCACTGAATTAACAACCTATCAGTAGTGGTGGGGAGAGACTGTATGAATTGTTTTTATATAGGCAGTAGGATTGCAGAATTATACCTGTCCTATTATGAAAGGTAAAAGTTTAGTAATGATAGGCAGCGGAATCCAGGATGCGCATTTCGTCCTATTCGGGACTCGTCAGCTGGATGTGCCTGCTTCCCAGTGAGTGACGTTGTTCCCACCGCGACTTGGACTCGGATTTCCCTGCTAGCCACTGCTCATCATTGCTAAACATAGTGAAAAGACAGGCAATATCGAGGCATCTGCATAGGAGCCCATATGCCAACAGAGACTTATCAATCCGATCCAATCAACGACGGTGTAATGCAAGCAATAACACTAAAGATAAAAGTTGTTAAAGTGAGATTTTGATCTAGGTTAATCGATGATGAACACACACAAATTTCTACAGAAGTCTCCATTAATACTATCTAGGTGATAAACTAGTGTCAAGATTGAAGATGATGAAGGAGATTTTGAATTCATCGTGCAATATCAGTGAACAGATAGTGAAGAAACCTGGATTTTAAAAAAATCAAATTTAGGATGAAGTGGGTATATTGCTTATTTCTGCTAATCTAGACCATCAAATCTGAGGAGAGAGAGTGAGAGAGGAGGGGGGGGGAAGAGCATAGTGCTTAGGTATAACCTTACAGGCTGAGTTGTAATTCCATTTTAGTCTATTTATTAAAAGTATCACACAGTGGAACAGTGTCATTTACTAGGTAACGTTTCGAACATAATTTATTGTCCACATTCATATAACGTAACTTCTCAACCTTGAGATATCAGCAGCAATAGTAGTAACACAGGTGTTATTGATAATAATTCTACTAATAGTAGTAATAATTGATGACAGGGTTGAGAGAGAATTCAAAGCCTCCACTATGTTACTATACAATAGAACGCATCTCAGAAGCCTTGGAAAGAATCCTCAATATGGCTGGGGTTAGTGTAGCATTTCAACCAACAAACTCGCTTAGAAACAAGCTTTGTAGATTAAAAGATCCTACTGATCAAATTCAGCAAAATAACATGGTTTACCAAATCCCTACGAATGATTGGAAGGTTAAATATATAGGTCAAAGTAGTCGACCGGGGACAATTAGAATAACGAAGCATAAAAACCTAGCTAAATCAAGATTAGTGGGTCCTAATAAGATAGAAAATTTAGAGAAAAGCTGGGCTATAGCTACGCACGACAATCTTAAAAACTAACGTGAGTTGAAGGGGGAGATTGATAACCGAATCTTTATTGATCTAATCAACACCAAATACATGCAATCGAAATGATTCTACACCTATTCCAGATACATAGAAAATTCTACTACCCTTGTCATCACAAAAAAAGGAAAGATTAAAACTATACAAACTATGTCTCAAGGTTGTGGAGTTATATGATATGAAGATGGATAATAAATTATGTCCGAAACGTTGTCCGGTAAATGCTACTGTTTCAATGTGCGACACTTCTAGCAAATAGACTAAGATGGAATTACAATCTACTAAAGTGCCCAAGTTTAACTCCTATATAACGTGGCTTGTATTCAAATAGTGAGGTTAGTGCTCATTATGTTATCTCGAAAAAGACCTAACTAGTCGAATAGATAACAACCATGACTGACATCCCGGCATAATATTAAAGTTTGTCAAAGAATGTTGCTCTATAACGGTGTAAAGAAAATGTATTTCAGCAGCTCCGTAAATGTTTGTATATGAATCAGCTAAATACTTTGTCCGATATATTGACTTGTTAAAAGCCAAGTAGTCAAGTCACTAAGCAGTCATTCATTACGATATGCGGTGTAACTTTCATTTAATCAAACAGTAACATCAATTTAATCCTGCCTATTTTCGGATTAGAAGATGTGAATTCAGTGTTAGCAGTTTAAAAGTTCTTCCTATTCCTGATCGTCATCACGATTAGTAGTGGAAGTGAAATAAATATATCTAAAGCTTAGTTAACTGATTACTGGACCAGTAACCCAGAGGTTACTGCTTCAAATTTGATCATCATCTAGAGGTTTTTCTCTAACCGTTAATAATTTGTCTACAAGGTTATAATAAGGCAGTTATACTTAAAAAAGACAGGCATTAAAAGATATTTTTTTTAAAAAGTATTACACCATTGCCTTAGGATTCAAAAGTGAGTAAGACATCCAGTCATATATGAGAATATCATGTGACTTACAAGGGTACGTTCACCATGTCTCATTGTCTGTTTATTAAACGGACAGGTCAGGTATATTCGAATGAATAATCGACTCAACTCAGCGATTGTATAAACAAGTCTAACAATAGAGAATTCAAAGCGACACACCACCAGAGTTGAAATCTACATATATACACTATGATCGATAATACTTCGGAGTACTATAGAAGGAATTTCATTTTTCATATTACTGTCACATATTATATGACACCATCATAACTACCACTACCACTACTATCACACATTTATAATATATACTTAACACACCCTTTTCAAGTCCCTGTCTTATTTTTATTATTTTTTTATTCTTCGCCTATTTATCTCCAATTTTTCTCGTAAAAATTAATTATTTAATCAATAATCGCCTGTTCAATTCAATAAATTATTTACATACACCTTTGTTGTCATGAGAATATCTCAAGGCAAAAATGCTAGACAAATATGTGACTTAATCATACTAATTTTTACCTTCAAAAGCTAATTGAATGACAAGCTATGGAAGAGAATATATGTAAATCAATTAAGCCTCTACTTGCAACAGTATGAAATATGAAACATGGATATTTTCCAACATCAATCAAGGCAGCAGGAGATGAAATCGATAGAGTATACCATTCATTTAAAAAGGACTAGAAAATGATACAAACGGTAGCAATGCACAGTTCTGAAGTAACTTTTTGATGATCTGAAGCAACAGAAAGAGTAAATACGTCTACTAGGGTCAAAATCGAAGTCTGCACTCATCTAGAAACCGATTTCTGTTGCTTAAAAGACTTCAATTAGATAGTCTGCAGTAAAGCAGATGATCCAGACCTATAGATATTGAGTTTATGCCGTCCTTTTGCCTTATCTTTAATTCTGCACAAAAGAGAAATATATAAAGGGCTGAGCTACTAATATATATGTTTTACATTGGGATTGTGGCAATTGAAGTGATAACAAAGTGGGGGAGTTAGGGCACATATCCTTCCGTAACTACTATAAAGCTATTTTGTGTATTTTCATCATAACTGCTTCCTAGCAGAAGACTACCATAGGATCTAATATATGTGTGCATTAAACAATAAGTACGCAGGTTTGTTCACAGGCCTGTCGAATAATTACACTACTGATTCACTCTCTCTGGTAAACTGTGAACTGATGAATATACACTAATCTGAAGATATAGCTAAGTCTTGTTTATTCAGACAGACGTAGAGAATCAACATAGAACCTCGAACATAAGTGCACCGGTTCAAGCTACCACACTCTAAAGTAGCATACAAAGAACGAAATAAAACGCATCCAGCTACCTTGTGAACACTCGTGCAGTAGGCAATGAGCCATACAATTTATGTGAGGGCTAGTGCTACTATCTGGTTGTCCAAACCTTAATAGGTGACGAGGAGCTCAAAGCCATGACCCAATGGTTGGTAGTCACCTCCCTAAACCGCTGAGACACACCTCTGGTATACAAAAGACAGGTGGATACAATAAGTGATATCAAACTAGACAAAGTTATGTGAGAGAATGAGAAATTTGAGGATAAAGGTTGTTGATTCAAAGTTTTATGGAAATCAACATAACTTACTGTACTAGGCGGAGGAAAACGATCATCTGGAAAGAGTTCAGTAAATGGTCGAGGTTCATTTCTTGGTCGTGACATTACATAATTACGTACAGCATATTCTAATCGACTCATAAATTCTGGACCAGGTGTTCCAAGTTCTTCTGTTATCTTAGTCCACTGATCAATATGATCGTAACCGGGAAAAAGAATTCGTTCAAGAACCATTTCAGCAAATATACAACCAACAGACCATATGTCAACATTTTCTGAATAACCCATGCCTAAAATAACTTCTGGTGCTCGATAATAGCTATATATATAAGTAAATATAGATAAATAATTTAGTAAACGGTATAACCTACTAATACTTTTAGGAGGAAGTTTGAACAAAGCATTGGAAATTGAAAATAAACACAAGAACTAAATAATACAACGTTAACAAACACTATATTGATCTCGGTGACTAGTGGAGGAATCCAGGATGCGCATTTCATCCTATTTGGATAACGCTATGGGGTTTGAAGTGAAGCGTTCTATGTTCGAGTCTCAGTGGAAACAACATCACTCACTGGGGTGCAGATACATCCAGCTGACGAGTCCCAAGTAGGACGGAACGCGTATCCTGGATTTCTCTCCTAGTCACCGACATCAATATAACTCCACGAATACTTAGCAGTATACGAGGCATCCGCATATAAGCCTATCTGCCGACAGAGGTCAAGCAATTCGACCCTTTACAGCAACGAGACATAACAATTTTAACAAACAGTATTTAACAGAAACTTCTTAAATGATATTTTCTAAACGTTATCTTTTTTTAAAGATGTATTATGCATCCATATATGTAATACGCAAAACAGTAAGTTCTTTGATCGGATCCTTCAGTTGATCGCTTCAACAAAATAAAGAAGAACAACTGTGAAATCATGGAAGAAAATACAAAACAAACTATACAATAATGTAAGCTGAAAAATGAACTTCTTTTACTTCAGTTTGGTCGAATCTTCTCTAAACGAAATATCTTTCGCTTTCATGTTTAAAATGAAACTTTGACACTACCTGTAAGGGAATATCACTTAAGTTGATGGTTCAGAGTGCACTAGGCTTGCAGGAATCTGGTTGCCGGTTCAAAACCGTTCTATATTTACGTTGGGTTACATAGCTAGGTTGTAAAAATAGTAGTCACATAAAAGTAATCGTTAACTAATTCATTAATTTAATTTTCATAAAACTCTGATAGCTTTAGCTTCATTCGCAACGCGAAATATGTATATTATGACAGTGTCTGGATAACAAACCCCATGACCGCGGGGACGACTGAATACTAACTGATGTTATGTTCGATAAGTATGCTGCGATAAGTATGCGACCGGTCATCATTTGGGAGTTTCTACCAGTTGGTTTAAAACATGTAAGGCACTGTAGGCTTCCAGACTGAGATTTGTGAAACGGCTGGAATCGATAGTTGGCAGACTTTAGGTAGTAAAAGTATACAGCAGCCATATAGATACCTCTATGCCATATCTATCTTCATACGGATCTTGAAAATCTTCCGATCTTTTCCCCTCAACATCATTCCCATTTGTCCTAAGGCGTTTTTCGACACCTGACATTATGTTTAGTTTTTTTCCTTCCCCACTTATTCACTTCGAAACCACTGTGCTGATGTAAAATATGGCAACTTTGGTCGTATTATATATATTTTCTGCTATTTCAAAGTTATTCCACCTACAATATGAATTCCTGAAGGCATACACTTGTACCGAAAGTAGATAATTTTTAATAATCGCAAACTGAGTTTTGAGTAACATTACCTTATGTTAGAGTTACCTTAAGCTCATAAGAACGCTATACGGATTAGTCCTGGTATGTATAAAAGAAAAAAAGAAGTCTACATCTGTTAGCAACTATGGAGGTCATAGATTCGTACCATGTCTTCGTCCAACTCCAGATAACGTTGCACGTTGTGGTAGATATATGTATCACACACTAATTATCATCCCTGATGAAGGTGCAAAATCTCATTAAGAGATTTGCTTTTATTACCTGAAACAATGTGCCTAGTTTTTACATTGTTTGTCTAGTGATTCCGTCACATACACAAAAGACAGTAAAAAAATCAATGGTAGTAGAATACTCAAGTCTTCACATATTCTTCAACTTCAGTGACTATGTTTTGCAGTCGTACGGCGAAACTCAGTAACGATTTGAGGATGAACACACTAGATACAACATGTCACATCTGCCATATCAGGGTTGATATTGTCTGACTACTCTGTGACGCATTGACTGAAGGTAGGATCACTAAGTCGACAAGCTACAACCTCAAGAGAAGACTGAAAGCAAGCACAATAGGTCAAAAACGCGTGAAACTATAAATCTGAATGAAAAAGCAATCAAATCAGAAAAATTGTCACTATTCCATACCGAGTCACCACATATGGGGTCATTAAAAAACTGTCTCCAGCTGTACGAGCCAAACCAAAATCAAGAATTTTCAAACTGCAATCATGTTTCACAACTATATTACTCGGTTTCAAATCTCGATGAATTATACCAGCTGCATGTAAATGTTTTACACCACATAGGACTTGATAGAGTAAATATGAAGTTCGTTCATGATCTAAATCCAAATTAATCACCTAAAATAAGGGACGTAAAAACCATGCAAAAAGATATATCAGGGGAACATTGCATACTAATGTACTGAAAATTCAACTTTAACACATATAAGGACCCAAAATGAACAACGATTTGAAAATGTACACACACTAGGATGATTATCACTACCGGTAGAAGTATGAGCTGTTATAATTGATTATAATCAATTAACTCGCTATATATACACTAGTGTCAGGTCAGTGCTTCTATACGGTTCAGAGACTTGACGCGTTACGAAAGGCATCTCCAACAAACTTCCGACACACATCAACAGCTGCCTACGCTCCATAATGAAGATTAAATGGCCAGGATAATAAGAATAAGCAACAAGAAACTCTGGCTAGCTGGCAATGAACCAACCAAGAACCTATCGCCCAACAAGGATACAGAAGAAAGTGGAGAAGGATTAGGTTGGACATACACTGGGAAGACGGTTCGGGGACATCACGTACTAGGCCCGGTCGTCGAGTGGAACCCAAACGGGAAACGAGTTGGGCATCCAAGGGTGACATGGAGAAGATCGTGTGAGGAAGAAATGAAAGCTCCTGAGCAGTCGCGGAGTCAGGTTGAGAAGACTGAAGAGAAGAGAGTGAAATGGAGACGTGCTACTGAAGCCCTATGTTCGACTAGGAACCCAAAGGATAAACAATAATAATAATAATAATAATAATAATAATAATATACCTTACCCATAACATTCCTCTCAGTCGTTCAATATCAAAATGGGATATGACACTTCTGAGCGACAGTTCAAGTTGCTCTACTGAATGATCATCAACGGTTCGTAAAAGCATCTTAGTGTGACTATGAGTCAACTAATAGGCCGCAGCAAAAAACAGCAGTTCCGATTCACATCTACAATTATTTCTGAGTTTAACTAATAAAAGTGCCTCTTTATTGGTGCTATATGTTATGAATCAATGAGCAGGATGTCAAGGATCTGAGTTGCATATTTGTTGTCACTCACCAGTAAGGTGTATATGCAAACTTGATCCATAGATTTCGGTCAGTGCTGAGTACTATTAGGAAGTGAATGAACAGTTACACCACTTACTCAACAGTGATCAATGTGTGCAAAAGTGCTTATCAACTAATTTAGTTACCACCAGGTGATTAAGGTTGTATTCATCATAGACTGTGATCAGCTGGAGAACAATTGAAAATCCGAGAGCATTTGGCAGCTGCTTCGTCCTGGTATGGGACTCCTCAGGAGTATGCACCAATGGCCCCACCTATGTTAGGTTGAAACAGCTGTCCACAGCTGCCAGGATTTTAATGGTTCTCCATAAACCTCACAACCTCGCCTGGTTAACTAGTTTACTAGTTACCAGCCGGTCCTAAGCCCGGCTAAAGAGGGAAGGTTGGGCATAGGGCCAGCAACCCTACCCCAGAAAACAAATCTAACCGCTAAAGAAACTTCAAAGCACAAACAAAATATAAAAAATGAAAACAAACTTATTCCCCGCTGGAATCGGAGAGGCGAAATGACGCCAGTTGGTGAGAGCCGTCGGGAAGCCAATTGGCCGATGTGTCTTCTCTCGAAGAAAGCGAAAGTAAACGTGGGGACATGGAATGTCCGCACCATGTTTGAACCCAGTAAGGCAGCCCAGATTGCAAAGGAGATGAGAGGGTATCACATCGAAGTGCTTGGGATTTGCGAAAGCAGATGGAATGGGAGTGGACTCTCCAAACTGTCAACTGGAGAATCAATAATCTACTCCGATATTGTCACCCAGACGACAACCACTAGCACAAGGAGGGAGTGGCTATCATGATGTCCTCAAGAGCATCGAAGGCTCTCATGCAGTGGGAACCAATCTCCTCATCAGGATCATGACAGCAAGATTCAACTCAAAAGGAAGAAAGGTCACAATCATACAATGTTATGCACCTACAAATAATGCAGAGCAAGAGAAAAAGGAGGATTTCTACAGACAACTTCAATCAACACTGGACAAGACCTCAGTTGGCGATATCAAAATTCTAATGGGCGACATGAATGCCAAACTGGGAGGGGACAACACGGGAAGAGAACTAACCATGGGTCGAGAGGCGCTAGGTGAAATGAATGAGAATGGAGAATTGTTTGCAGAATTCTGCGCATTCAACGATTTGGTGATTGGAGTCAGGCAGTGTGTTCAGGCACAAAGATATCCACAAAGCGACATGGATTTCACCAGACACCAGGACACACTAAAAATCAAATCGACTTTATCTCAATGTGAAGAAAATGGAGACGCAGTTTACTTAACACAAGGTCAAGAAGAGGAGCAGATGTAGGCTCAGACCACTATCTAGTGCAAGGAACCTTCCAAATCAAGTTGAAAGCCTTCTAGGAAGCTGGTGATACACCTCAATTCAAGTACAACACTCGGAAACTGAAGGATGAAACTACAAAGGAGATCTTCAAGGCAGCCATCAAGACAAAATGGGAGATATCGAGCAACATCCCTGAAGGTACCTGTGTGGAAGAACACTGGAAGTCTTTGAAAGAGATGTGGAAAGAAACCTGCACAACCGTATTAGGAAGGAAGAAGAAAGAAAATAAGGAATGAAATGGATCTCGACGGACACATGGAAGCTGATAGAGCAGGGAGAGGAGGATGATGAAGCAGAAGATAAACCAGTGCAAGGATGCTCAACGACAAGAGGAACTGAGCACAGTGTATAAAACACTGGATAAAGAAGTGAAGAAGAGTGCACGCAAAGGCAAAAGACACTTCTACGACACACTGGCAAGTGAAGCAGAACAGGCTGCAGGTAAGAGAGACCTTACGACATTGTATCAAATAACCAGGTTGCTATCAGGGAAGAGACCAACACAGATGAAACCAATAAAAGATGAAGAAGGAAATTTAATTACAAAAGAAGAGAAAGAAAGGAAACAATGGGCCGACCACTTCAAAAAGCTCTTGAATCGACCACCATCTGCACTTCGTCCAGAAATACCACCTGCAGCACCTGCAGCCGCTGAATTACAAGTGAACATAAATCCCCCAACGAAAATGGAAGTCCTGAACGCCATAAAGCTACTGAAATGCGGGAAAGCAGCAGGACCAGATGGAATACCGCCAGAAGCACTGAGAACAGATGCAGAGACAACAGCGGACATGCTCACACCACTATTGCAGAAGGTGTGGAAGGAAGAGAAGGTACCTGGCCATTGATTGGAAGAAGGGTTACCTTGTCAAACTGCCGAAGAAAGGAGACCTTAGTGCTTGCAAGAACTGGTGCGGAATCACTCTCCTGTCCACCCCAAGTAAAGTATTAAGCCGCATCATCCTAGAGAGGCTTAAAGATGCACTGGATTCAAAACTGCGACCGGAACAGGCAGGCTTCAGGAAGTACAAATCATGTGCAGACCAAATTGCAACGCTTCGCATCATCATAGAACAGAGCATAGAATTGCAATCAGCTCTCTACCTCAACTTTATCGACTTTGAGAAGGCCTTTGACAGCGTTGACCGAGAAGTAATTTGGAAACTGCTTCAATACTACGGAGTACCGCAAACCTTTATCCGCCTCATTCAACAACTATATGAAGATGCCACATGCCAAGTAATTCACAATGGGAAGCTCAGTGATGATTTTGAAGTGAAGACAGGAGTGAAACAAGGTTGCCTACTATCCCCCATGATATTCCTGATTGTGGTAGACTGGATCATGCAGCGAGAAGAGGGGGATACGCTGGACGGCGGAAAAGAACCTAGAAGACTTGGATTTCGCCGATGACTTGTGCCTAATGTCACATAAACTTGAAGATCTGCAAGCAAAAACTAACTAGTTGATCGAAGAGGCAGCGAAGACGGGACTTCAAATGAATATAGAGAAGACAGAAGTGATGAAGATACCACACCACCACCATCAACAACAACAACAAACTCCAGTCACCATCAACGGGAGAAACTTAAAGGAAGTAACCTCCTTCACTTATCTAGGAAGCACTGTTTCAACAACAGGCGGGACGGACGAGGACGTCAAAGTCAGAATCGGAAAAGCAAGACAGGCTCTTCATTAGCCTGAAACCAGTGTGGAGATCTTCTGCACTCAGCATGTGGAACAAGATCCGGATTTTCAACACCAACGTCAAGTCAGTGCTCTTGTATGGTTCAGAGACTTGGCGCGTCACGAAAGGCATTTCCAATAAACTACAGACATTCATCAACAACTGCTTACGCTGGCTCGCTACTGAAGATCAGATGGCCAGAAATAATAAGCAACAAGGAACTCTGGGAACGAACCAACCAAGAACCTATCATCCAACAAATATGCAGGAAGAAGTGGAGATGGATTGGCCATGCACTGAGAAGGCCGACTGAGGACATCACGCGTCAGGCCAGTTACTCGAGTGGAATCCCCATGGGAAGCGACGAGTTGGACGTCCAAGGGTGACATGGAGGAGGTCGTGCGAGGAGGAAATGAGAGCTTCTGGGCTGTCGTGGGACCAGGTTCAAAAGATCTCAGAGAACAGAGGTCACTGGAGGCGTGCTACTAAAGCCCTATGTTCCACTAGGAACCCAAGGGACTAATAATAATAATAATAATAATAATAATAATAATAATAATAATAATAATAATAATAATAATAATAATAAACCTCACACTGCGTTGCACGATTAGTTATTTTTTAACTCAGAGGTTTGTTATTTTTCATCTTAGAGATCTTGATCACTTAGATTCATTAAAATAATTAGTTTCCTTTAAAATCTTAGACAAAATAATAAGACGTAATTTGTCTCAAGCGTGTAATGTATTTGCGCAAAACATTTCGAACAAACTTATCCCACAGTCATTTATCATAGATACTTACATTAAAGAACATCATTGACTGTAAATATTCATTACAAATATATTTTAAGGTGAATGAAGATTTTTACGTAGTATTCATCATGGGTTGACAAGAGTTAACAAGCCTCCAGATGGATATCCCGAAGTTCTGATGAGAAGCCGTGACCTGTGGGGTCAGCCGGTTGGAAATGAAGCGGATGTCAACTGAAGACCTTGGGTGATAGTCGCATTATACTGCGATTGACATAAGTCGGAAACTGCGAGCCACTGAACTCCGATGCAGTGGATGAATGGTTAACGCGCCCGCCATAAAACCTGAAGGTCCTGAGTCCGGTCTCTGGTCGAGTCGTGGGTGTGTACTCCTGAGGAATTTCGTACTAGGACGAAGCAGCTGTCCAGTGCTCCCAGTTTTTAATGGTTCTCTAACTGATGTCAGTGCATGATGAATACTACCTCACAAATGTGTTTATAATAAATTGATTCCCTCCACAATGAACAAATTCGTCATGTATATAACTTATACGAAAGGTTATAAGCAGATAAGGGATAGGGGAATATTAAAAGAGGTCAAGTATGAAGGCTAAATTAAAGGCCAAAATGACAATAAAAATCAATAGAGCGAAAATAATAGTACATCGAACATGCGTTCAGTGTTGAATTCACCACAAGAGGTTTAATGTGATAACAAATTGTTTTTGAACACATAAAGGCGGTTTAAACTTTCTAATAGCTAAGGCCTTGATAAAGTGAAGGGTCCGTCCCCAACATGTTATGTGATTAGGTCTAAAGGATTTAGAAACTTCGCTCATGTGGCCTTCCTACAGGATTACTTCGTTGACCATATTATCTCACTGTCCTTGTCTTTAACTTGGCTGCTTTTTGTCTTCAAGTACTAACGTGATAGACAGTCAATCGTAAAGTTACACAGTAATTGCAAGTCCTGTGATGACAGTGACTGACTTTCACTCCACTTATGAATAAATATAGGTTATGTAACAGAATAGTGCTATTATACTGGTGACATCTCATTTCAGTATGACTGAGATAGCCGTGGTCTAGTTTGAATCCGCCGTCGCCCAAATTTTCATTCCACCTCCAACCACCAACCAGTATCAATACAAGTCAGCAAAACCATGGCTATCTCAGATAGCCAAACTGATTATCTGTTTAATGTTTCCCCTCTTTAATTCAAGTAGATTTGGATTAAGATGTGAAGTCATGATCGAGCAGATAGTGTGAGTACGACCAAGCGATAGTAAAGCGTCACGAATTCACATAACTGTTGGGTAAAACCCTTGGTGATTGAAGTGCAATAAAAATCTGATCATAAGTTGGGGCTAATGGCTTAGTTAGTAAAGCACCGGATAGAAACTTAGTGGTTGCTGGTTCGAATCCTGCCATGGCCTAAATTTTCATTTCACCTTCAATCACCACCTAGTATAAACATCCCACTTTAGTTGGTAATACTGGGACTTGTTCTTATTACCAACTATAAAGTTGAGGTCAGATTATTTTATTTAACTTGAAAATATTTTACGAAGAAATACAGTAGAATGAAACAAATCAAAATAAAAGTATGAACGTCAACTGGTGACTTTAAAAATAATTGCACAGGATTGACCTAGCACTCATTCGATCTCTCTGAACTGATAAACCCATCTTTAAACTTTGAAAAGTACAATACTTATTACGTAACAACAAAATCATAACTATGAGGTGACATGTTATTTGGAGAGACTATATAGAACTATACTACTAATGGTCTACAATAGTTAATTACAACCACTTTTAGTGATCAGATCTGAAAAACATGTTATAAAGCAAACTGAAATGAACAATAAGTTGAGAAGAAAAGATGAATGAGGGAAATATTACGTGGTGGATGTCAGAATGACTTAGCTATAATGAAAAGTACAAGCCGAAGGGAAGGGTAAATAATACAGTTTAGGAATATCCTTCCTATTTTTAAGTTACAGTTATAACATTATATTTGTAAGACTGAGGCATGGAATTATAGTGACGCCGAAAATCGAAATGTAAATTGAGACTACTCTTTCTCTCTCTTTTAGTGCTTATCAAGTTCACAGTGTCCGGCTCCAATGAAATCCTATTGCATCAGGATTTATAGTAAACAATAGACTTCCTTAAATATAAAGGATTACGCTATTAAAATTTATGAACTATATTTTATATAATCTTCACTATCGCATAGAGAACCGAACGAGCTGTGACCACGTATAGACTTGTGTACCAAGGAGCATGCACTACAACCATCACAAGCTTGAGGGTGGGAAGGGCATACTATGTACACATCAAAAACCATTTATATTTTGTCAACCAACCTTCGAATTGGTACAACCATGGTGATGATGGTTGGTAAAGTGGTTCAAATCTGTTGCTCACAGAGTGAAAGTCAAGTGTCATAACTGTAATGAGCTACATCTCTACACCAATCGAAATAGATTTTAAGAAAGTATCTTGATATGAGAATCATAGGTCAGATTACTTTGAACACAGAAATAAATAAAAGTGTCCATATGAAAAATTCCAAACAGCATATAGTTAAATCAATTACTTGGCATAAATTAGCATCCATGAATTCCATTACTAAGTAAACATCCTGGAAATCTTGTAGTGTTTGCTGAGGAGTAAATGCGTTTAACAGTGATATGATCTATATGAGAAAAAATAGAAAAAATGTGATATAATGAGAAAATGAACCCTGAAGAGGAGTCTTTTATTTCAGTATCGTAAGGCAAACAAACCAAAAGGTACGAATGACTGAAACTAACTGTTTTTTAACTTACGGCGAGCTACCAAAGATAGTAAAGTTCACTTTATTCGTCTAAACATATAGAACTGATCAGTTGTTCAGTGTCACATTTCTCCGGGACTCAAAAATGTAATCTGTTGCTATAATTTGAGGTGACAACAACAGAGGAATCAGTTTGACTAGCACTGTATCCCATATCCTACGGTCAATAGTTATCTAACGCCTAACTGGAGCTCTAGAGAAAACCAAACAGGTTTCAGACCTGAACGAGGGTACATGAATCAGATCCCACCATTCATCAGGTTCTGGAACATAGGTTTAAGTACCGATGACCGACACTAGCCATTTTTCTTTACCTGAAGGTGGCATTAAACCCAATCGATCGAAAGTTGTGGTAGTGTCCGACTGTGAAGGAATGAACGAGTAAGTATGTAACGTTAATTCAATCTCCGTAGTCAAACTTATTTAACTGTGTAACGGCCTATGGAGAGTTGTCATCTGAAGTACCAACAGATACTGCTATCAGACAAGGGTATTCACTGTTATCGTCCCCTCTCGACTTTATTATAAACATATTAATGTGTATAAACCCAAGTACCTTTGAATTGTTAGAGATCAACCCACTCCCAGCAGGGTACCTGGTTTACTTAGAGGATGCAGATGACAAAGTCTTGTCATGCACAGGTGCTGACAAAGTGCGGTCTTCTGAATGTCTCGAGCAGATATTTGAGTATGTGTAGTATAGGTTTCACACCTTTCAAACGTAATATGATACTTTGAAACTGATTTTCACTGAATGCATTAAACAGTTAGCTCAATGGATAGATGAATTAATTCAATTGGGTTGGCGACTAACGAAATTTCAAATCGGATAAAGAGAACCCATTTGATATTTGCCAAATCACATCGCCTCTGGTACCAGTGTGATATGAGACTGCCTTGCCTATCAGTTCGCTCTGTCCTGTTACATTGCTGTGAAACGTAGTCGTTAAATAAGACATGAAGAGATTAAAAGTTTTGACCACGGCTGTCTTCATAGCATCGCTCACTTATGGTGAAATCATCACATGAGTTATGTCGAAGATAAGCTTAGGGTACTAGACAAGTCAATCGATGAGGTTGTAAACCTACACCCACTGAGATGGCTTGCATGTTGCATGTGCCGAGCCATAACCTACCTCAATACCCAATGTAATTTCAAGTAGGATTGGGTTGGAAGAAGACTCGCGGTGGTCAGAGCAAGACATAACACCGGTTCATGAAGTCTATGATTGTTGATCTGAGCCACACACGGAGGTTCATAATGCCTGTTTAGAGTTTTCAAGATGATAGGAATCAATAGTTTATAGGTCTTGGCGACATGGCTCAAAATCGGTCACAATTATTATTATTAAAACACAAACATGGTAAAACAAGGGCACCAATAAATGCGCCACACAAAACAGTGTAACAACATTGTGAACACTTTAACGATGTGAAGTGGATAAAAAAGAAAAACAATAAGAATCGAATGATCAAAACGGTAGTCCAGTAAGATGCATTAAAAAAAACATTACTTTCCAGCAGCAGAAGATGGAAGAAAGCTACAGCGTTACGCTACTGGTTTCGATTCTGAGCCATACCTGATAACGTCTCAAGCCACTGAGTTGTGTGATCTCTTGGACCCCAACCAGGGAGTCGTGATGCACCAACAAATGCTAACCAGATATAACTATCCTTCATCATACGGCCCCACGTCATACGCTGACCACCCCTCCACTCCTTTCATCCAGTCCCAGGGCTAGCCAACAATGAACTGTATGGAAGCCATTCGGATGACATGCGTAACACACGTTCAAGCCACCGAAGCCAGTGTTTCTAGATGGCTTCACTTATGAATGACGATCACCATCATAGCTAAACATGCTGTCGTACTCCAGAATAATTTACATGGTGTTGTCACGGATACGAGCAATCTTATGGAGACAACAATGATCGATCACATAGAGTCGTCGCACATCCTCAACTCGAAGAGACCAGGTTTCACAGTTAGAGAGGAGGACCGCTCCTACCGAAGCGTTGTCAACCCGACCTTTTACGGTAAGACTAACGTCGCAACAGCGCCAAAAGTGACCGAGATTAGTGCACGCCACTCTGGCTTTCAATGTCATTCGAAATTTCATCACACACCTCCACCAGCACTCACACAACTTCTCAGATACACGAATTTTTCAGCTACTTCCAGTGGCTCACCATCGAGGGTAAGTGCAGACACTGGCTCCTGTCAATCTCGCAGCAGTACTTTGCATTTTGATGGTGCAAACCGTTTATCATACTTACTGACACTAGTCGCCCAATGATTAAGTTCGATTTGAGTAACCTGTGTGTCAGCACACGGTAAGACAATATTGTCCGCATATTCAGGGTCGAATAGCCGTTCTCCAGTTAGTAGATCTACACCATCATTACGCATCTCCTCCAGAGTTGTCACAAGAATGTCGTCGATGGCAAAATTAAAGAGGGATGGAGATGTGGGACAACTCTGCCTAACCCCACTGCTGGTTCGGAACAATGGAGACAGGTGGTTGTATGCCTTGACTCTACTTGATGTCTTATTGTATAGTGCTGTGCTTTCAAGATGTTAATAAGTTTCTTAGGCCCGGCCCCTTCCGACAGACAATTTCAGAGTATAGCTCTCTGTCCGACGAATCGAAGGCAGCCATAAAGTCAAGAAATACAACGATTGTTGGCCTGAACTAGGTCTGTCGATGTTCAAGCACCTGGGCCGGGTGCCTTGTGGTGTTTCAGAGTACCTTATGGACCACCGCTTCGTTATGTAGGCCATTGTTAACTAACCATGGAGCACAATACACTGAAAGTGAAGATGCTGGAAGTGCAGGTCAGCTAAACTGTTTCTCCAAGTGCTCTGGACAGCGTTCCAGGTGTCTGAAGATTGTTTATCGCGTAACACCTACCCCACAGACTGTTTCACTGACCCCAGGCTTCTTCCTGCCAGTGGCTCGGATGAGTTGGAACAGCCTCCGACTACCCCCAGATGCTGATGCTACTTCCACTTTTCTTTCACATTCTGACCACTAGGCCTCACGGTCTCCACGTCAACGTTGTGTAGTCTTTCGTGTAAGAGATTTACGCAAACCATTGTACTCGCTATCAGTCGGAATGGTCCGACAGGCGTCAAGAAGTTGCAAGGAGTTCTCAGAGACCCAGTGTTTGTTAGTGGGACGTTCTTCCAAGCCAGCCACAAGCGGCTTAACTCGTCATTTTCATGGTGTCTTGCAAGTGCAGTCAATGCTCGTCTACACTTTCTGGAGAGTCGGTAGCTAGCATTATATCTAGCTCGGATTGGTATTTAGTTGCACTGTTAGGTGCACCTAATTTGCTTGCATCGACCTGTTTAGGTTGACAAGTTTGATGACCAAAAAATGCAAGACGAGCTTAGCCCACACTAAGGCATGATCGGAGTCCAAACAAGTACTCCATATGGAGTGTTAGTCTTTTATGTACTCACGCCATCGATAGCTGATTGTGATATGATCTATTTGAGTCCAGGCTTGAGTGGCAGAAAGAGGACGCCAAGTAGCAGAACAGCGATGGCTGTGCCGAAAGTTGGTGCTGGATAGAAATAGGCTGTGACCAGTGCAAAGCTGGAGAATACGATCCCTATTATCCGACCCTCAGACAGCTAGTCCCCACTGGCCACCTAAAAAAACTCTTCTCTGAGTCTAGACACCTGACAGCGCATTCAGGTCTGCAAATAGCGCTACAATGTCGCTCGAGCTCACTAGGTTGAGAAGATCATTAATCTGATTACAGAATTCATCCTTGGTTTCAATCCGTCGGAGCATAGGCAGAGATGACAAAGGAAATGGTTTCTCTTGTCGGTTACTTTGTACTGGAGATGAACCTTTTAGCCTAGTCGCACACAAACGACTGTTGATGAGGATCCAGTCAATTAATGCAGCTTCGACTCGAGTGCTTAGTGCGACAATTTGGGTAACAAGAAATACATCCCAGACATTTTTCAGTTGCCATTGGATGTGTTTAGTAGACTGCACAACCTATCAATGTCTTTACCTACCAGGAACCCATCATCTACTCCACTGTAAAGCCAAAGGAGGAGAGGGGGACCTCCATAGGTATCCCGACACAATTAAATAAACGTACACAACTCACTATGGGCTCTGAAACACCCAAGGAAGTTTCAGCACACCCTTCAATAGTGACGACGTACTCACCTTGTACACCCTTCAGAGCATTTTGTTAGTGTTCCCATTTAACAGGACTGTGTCATCTGATATCACAGCTGTCAGTCAACAGTGAAAGCAGAGCGAATTACGTGCACATTAAATAGAAAAGTAAAGCTGTGGCTCGTTGGTTCAGACACGTAACTTCAACCAGTGGGTTACAGATTTCAATACCATTCCACCTATCGGTATATGGGTAGCGAAGTACTACCAAACCTCTTACACAATGAGTGTGTTGCACTGCATACTGCACTAACGTGCCGGTTATTGTTAACGCGTGGAAAGGAAAGTAGAATACCATGAAAGCGAAACACTTTAAAAACACAATGAGCAAAATGTTGAAAAGCATCCAAAAACTAACATTTTTATGATTCACCAACTTCATTAGAACAAATTCACGATAGGCACGTTTGGCATGTGTGACATTTTGAAAAGGACGCGCCAACTTCTTAATGGCTACATCTTGCTTAAGTATTGAGTCGTAGGCTGCTCTGTAGGGTAAAGTTAACACAGACAAGATATATGAATAGGTAGCATACAAAATATATGTTCACGTGATTATATATATATATATATATATATATATATATATATATATATATATATATAACCTCTCCTGGTTAACTAGTTCACTAGTTACTACCCGGTCCTAAGCCCGGGGAAAGAGGGAAGGTTAGGCATAGGGCTACCAACCCTACCCCGTAAAGCCAATACAATCGCTACAGAAACTTCAAAGTACAGAGAAATTATCATAACTAAAATCAAACTTATTCCTCGCTGGAATCGGAGAGACGAAATGACGCCGGTTGGTGAAAGCCTTCGGGAAGCCAGTCGGTCGGTGTATCTTCTGTCCCTCGATGAAAGCGAAAGTAAACATAGCAACATGGAATGTCTGCACCATGTATGAAGCTAGCAAGGCTGCCCACATTGCAAAAGAGCCGAGAAGGTATGGCATGGAAGTGCTAGGAATCTGCGAAAGCAGATGGAATTGAAGTGGACTCTCTAAACTGTCAACTGGAGAGTCAATAATCTACTCCGATATTGTCACCCAGACGACAACCACAAACACACTGAGTTTTGGAGTGGCTATCATGATGTCCCTAACAGTATCGAAGGCTCACTGTCATGCAACGGGAACCAGTCTCCTCCTGAAGGATCATGACAGCAAGATTCAACTCAAAAGGAAGGAAGGAAAGTCACAATCATACAATGCTACGCTACGCACCTACAAATATGCAGATGAAGAGAAGGAGGAGGAATTCTACAGACAACTGCAGTTAGTACTAAACAAGACCCCACTCCAGTTGGCGACGTCAAAATCCATTCTAATGGGTGGGGAGACATGAATGCCGAACTCAGAGCGGACAACACAGGAAGAGAGCTCATCACGGGTCGAGAAGCACTCAGTTAAATGAATGAGAATGGAGAACTGTTTGCAGTCCTCTGCGCATCTAGTGATTTGGTGATTGGAGGCAGTGTGTATAAACAGAAAGATACTCACAAAGTGACATGGATTCAATTTCACTAGATGGATACACTACACTAAAAATCAAATCAACTTCACCTCAATGTGAAGAAAGTGGAGACGCAGTCAGCCTACTGGACACTATATCAAGAAAGGGAGCAAATGTAAGTAGTTAATACAATTCACTATCTAGTACAAGGAACCTACCTTCAAATCAAGTTGAAAGCCTTCACAGAAATTGGTGACAGACCATAACTCAAGTTCAACACCCAGAACACAAACTGAAGGTTGAAACTACAAATAACATCTTCACGTGATCGACCATCAGAACATAGAGGAAGACATTGAGCAACATCCGTGAAGGTACCTGTGTGGAAGAACACTGGAACTCTTTGAAAGAGATGTGGAAAGAAACCCGCATAACCGCATTAGGAAGGAAGAGGAAACAAGATAAGGAATGGATCTCGACGGACACATCGAAGCTGATAGAGCAGGGAGAGAGGATGGTGAAGCAGAATATAAACCAGTGCGAGGATGCTCAAGGACAAGAGGAACAGAGTACAATGTATAAAACACTGGACAAAGAAGTGAACAAGAGTGCGCGGAAAGACAAAAGACACTTCTACGACACATTGGAAAGTGAAGCAGAATAGGCTGCAGGTAGGAGAGACCTGACAACGTTATATCAAATAACCAGGTTACCATCTGGGAAGAGGTCAACACAGACGAAACCAATGAAAGATAGTGAAGGAAAGCTAGCTACCAAAGCGGAGGAACAAAGGAAAAAATGAGCTGATTACTTCAAAAAAAACTCTTGAATCGACCACCACCTGCACTTCGTCCAGAAATACCACCTACAGCCGCTGAACTACAAGTGAACATAAATCCTCCTACAAAAGTGGAAGTCCTGAACGCCATAAAGCTACTGAAATGTAGGAAAGCAGCAGGACCAGATGGGATCCCGCCAGAAGCACTCAGAGCAGACGCAGAGACAACAGCAGACATACTCACACCACTACTGCAAAAGGTTTGCAGGGAAGAAAGGAAAGGTACCTTCTGGTCTATTGGAAGAATGGATACCTTGTCAAACTTCCAAACAAGGGAGACCTAAGTCTTTGCAAGAACTGGTGCGGAATCATGCTGCTGTCCACCCCAAACAAAATATTATGCCGCATCATCCTGGAGAGACTAAAGGATGCACTGGATTCAAAATTACGACCGGGACAGGCCGACTGGCAGGCTTCAGGAAGAACAAATCATATGCAGATCAAGTTGCAGCACTACGCATCATCATAGAACAGAGTATAGAATAACAATCAACTCAACTCTAAGTAAACTTTATAGACTTTGAAAAGGCCTTCGACAGCGTCAACCGAGAAGTTATTTGGCAGTTGCTTCAACAATACGCGATACCACAAATCTTTATCAACCTCATTCAACAACTATATGAAGACGCCACACGCTAAGTGATCCACAAGGGAAAGCTCAGTGGTGCTTTTGGAATGAAGACAGGAGTAAGACAATGCTGCCGCCTACTATCACCCATGATCTTCTGATTGTGCTCGACTGGACTGGATCATGAAGAAAACCGTGAGGAGCAAGAAGATAGGCATACACTGGCTGGACCGATGAAGAGACCCTAGAAGATGATTTGGATTTCGCCAATGATGATTCATGTCTAATGTGGCACAAACTCGAAGATCTACAGGCGAAAACCGACAAGTTGACAGAAGTGGCAGCGAAAACGGGACTTCAAGTGAATGTAGAAAAGATGTACGGGATGAAGATGCCCAACGAATAACAGCATCAACAACAACAGGCACCAATCGCCATTAGCGGGAGAAACCTCAAGGGAGTAGTCTCTTTCACCTACCTAGGCAATGCTGCATCGTTTCAACTACAAGCGGCACAGACGAGGACGTCAAAACCAGGATCGGAAAAGCAAGACAGACGTTCATTAACCTGAAACTAGTGTGGAGATCCTCTGCACTCAGCATAAAGCATGAACAAGATCCGGATTTTTAACACCAATGTCAAGTCAGTGCTTCCATATCATGGTTTAGAGACTTGGCGCGTCATGAAAAACACTTCCAACAAACTACAGACATTTATCAACAGCTGCCTACGCCGGCTCAATACTGAAGATCAGATGGCCAGAGTAATAAGAATAAGCAAAAAGTAACTCTGGCTGGCAACGAACCAACCAAGGACCTATCGGCCAACAAATATGCAGAAGAAAGTGGAGATGGATTGGGCATACACTGAGAAGGCCGACTGAAGATATCACGCTACAGGCCCTCAAGTGGAATCTAAAGGGGAAACGATGAGTTGGGTGTCCGAGGTGAGGTTGACATGGATGAGATCATGTGAGGAAGAAATGAAAGCTTGTGTACAGTCGTGGTGTCAGGTCCAAAAGACTGCAAAGAACAGTGCAATGGAGGCGTGCTAATGAAGCCCTATGTTCCACTAGGAACCCAAGGGAAAAATAATAGCTATATATATGGAATATCCTGATTGCATATTTTTATGAGGTGATAAAAACTATATTCAGGCAGTAAATTACAATAAGAACATCCGGAGATCCCGAGAAATCTAAATAGACGTGCTACTACGAGCTATTTGTCACTGCATAAAATAATTATCCACCAGTTTTTCGAGTTCAGTTTTCCGTATGATATGTTAGTTTATTACCTACAAATTATCTACCTCTCAATCGTCACGTTATATTTCGTTACTGCTTCCGAAAATCGTAGAGAGTACATCCATTTTGAAACACGATTTGAAAGTTCGTCACACAACTATAGAAACAAAATTGGTTCATGGTGTATTATTTTACAGTGTTAAGAAGTCGCAAGTGGACCACAAGTGTTCTTTCAGAGATTATTGCACAGTTGTGGCTCATTGGTCTAGGCATACAATTTCCAACGAGTAGGTCACAGGTCCGAACATTCCTCCACCTACCGACGCGTGGGAAGTGACACAGTATTAGTGGCCGTCAAACAATAACTGTGGCTAACTGCCTACTACACGAACGTGTACATGGTTGTTGAGTTGCATTTTGCATTCCCAAACGAGACTATTAATGGGCAGAGACATATACTGGTGAATCACCAATATAATATATAAGCTGTCAAAGAGCACATGCACAAAGTGAATATATATGAGGATCGTAGAGGAGTAACTCATTGGAGAAGACTCGACATCCAAGCAGTTGATCTTCTATCTAAGCACCACCCTATCAACTTCGACTTGGGCAGCTGGGTATTATCACAATCCCTAAGATTCTAAATATGATTTATGGTGTAGCACATATGTATTTGTAATAGATTACTGAGTCACGTTGCATTTTGCATATTGCACATATTGAGGGTGCAAAATTTATGTATTGAAAAAGTGAGAGAGAATAAGGAGGCATCCACTAGCGAGTAAACTTTTTCCAGTGAATGAAGATATGACGCACAAGAGTTTACAATCGATTCATATTACATTAATTCACATGTCACAGCACACAGTGATACTATATTATTTACTAAAAGACGTTTCGAGTACATATTGTTGACAAGCATTTGATTACTATCCTTATGCGCCACATCAAACAAAGAAATGTAATACGTAATTAAATCTATCTGATCCCAGTGAACTATCAGTCAGTTATCTAACAAACAGTCAGAATAAATAATGATGTTCTAAAACCCGTCTCCATCATTAGTTGCAACATTTAGTGACTGTTACTGATAGTCGATGCTCCAATTTCTTTGGTTGCTTCCAACTACTATCCACTCGGTCATCCATTCTTAGTTGACTTCTCCACTCTTTCTCACCCATCATCAAGACAGACAAAATCAACGTAGAACCTAGCATCCAAGTCCATCAGTTCACTTTAGTGCACTTCACAGTAGCAAGCAAAGAACAAGCGGCTAGAAAAAGAGTGATATTAAGGTAGACAAAGTTGGGAGAGAGAATGAGTAATTTGAAGATAACGGTTAGTGCAAATATCCAAGCTTTAAAGGATATCAAAGAGTGAAT